ACACACACACACACACACACACACACACACACATATACATAAAAGTTAGGATTTGAAACCTGTTTCAGAAATGAGTTTTCATAAAAGAACAAATACGGATTGGCCATATTTGATGAGAAGTTCGCTCCTGCTCGATTTCCCTCTGTTTGATTATATATTTGTTTATTAAAAGTAATATAAGTATTATAAACACAGAAATGATGTATGTTTTTACATTGAAGTTTGGTAAATTAAAATTTTTGAATGTTTATTTCTGTATTTATAATAATATTTAATACCTGAAATAATTATGTTACAGTTAGTGTTAGAGAATTATAAGTTGTTGCTAGTAGCAGTTCTGAATTTGTCAATGGAAAAAAAAATAATTAGAAACCATTTGCTAGTGCCTTCAAAATTTAAGGTTTGAGCCTGAATGGTGACCTCGAGATTTGAGCGATTAAATCGATTAGTATCGTGAAAATAATCAGCTAGTGTTTCTGGTTATTACTGTGTTCAATTATAAATTCCAACTAACAGTTAATTGAAATGGTGATTAAATTGATAAATGTTATGAAAATTATTAACTAATTGAAATAAATGTTTTTGATTTTTACTGTTTACAGTTATGTCAACTCTCTCAGTAATCAAAATACTGCAGTTGTGGTTCCTCATTATTTTCAATTAATTCAAGGTTGTTCAATTGAATTTATTAATGTCATCACTCACAAAAATAATCAGTTAATCGAAATCAGTGTTTCCAATTATCACTATTTTCGATTGTTACGACTATCTAAGTAATCGAAATACTGGCATTATGTTTATTGTTAAGCACAAAGCTGCTCGAGGGGTTAATCTGTGCTCTGGGAATTGAAACCCGAGCTGTAGTTATAATCTTTTTCTCTTGTTGTTTTAATAGTCAATTTACGTGAGAATAATCATTTTTATAGCCATCTTATGAGAATAATTGGCCTCAATAAAATTGAAAGACTTTGATTTTTCAAAAATGATGACTAAGTCTAGAGGCAATAAGTGAAATTTGCCAATTAATTAATCGTTGGGCTCATTAACTGGTGACCTTTAATTAACTTTTGAAAATTTTAAAAACCTGAATAAGATTACCTTTGGATCTTTCATGTGACAGTTAAATAGATACATTTGAATTTAATCAAATGAAAGCTTACCAGAAAAAGTAATGACGCAGATAGTGAGGGAGGGTTTCTTCATATTTTGAAAAGAGCAACATTATAAAGTATATTATTCACAAGTTGTCTCTAAAAGAAAACCCCACACAACATGCAGACTTGTACAGTAGCAGTTACAAAGTTATTGTGGATAACAATATGTAATTAATTGCCTTTTTTTTTTTCTAGCTTGCAGGAATTGGGGTTTTAGCAGTAGCGATATGGCTACACGTTGACAATGCCACTTACCTTGTCCAAGGCGATAATGAAAACTCCTACTTCACTGCCATATATGTTCTTATGGCAGCTGGCTCTATCATGGCAGTTGTTGCTTCTTTGGGATCTTGTGGTGCAATCAGAGAGAGTCCCTGTATGCTTGGCACGGTAAGTCACTAGATCAGTAATGGACTAGACATAAAGTTTACCATATTCCATACAATTTGTAAAAATCTGAAATATTGTGAAAGTTTAACCCTTTGAGTGCATAATTAAATTTCAGGTGGGTTCTCGATAAGTTTCAATTATCCACTGAAAAATTAGAATTAGAATTTTACCTTTTTTTTAGTACTTTTTCAATTTCAAAATCTACCAGTTGCTCGGTGATGGACGCAAGCACGATACTAAGGTGAGAAATACAAGGACGTGTGAGTATCCCGATTGTTGCACTATGAGGAAAAGTTTTTGTGACACCGTGTAGTAAATCCACTTGTTACACCAAACAGCTATGAATGTCAAGCTCGATAAATCCGATTATAGCATCCAAAGGGTTAAATATTAATTTTTTTGGTTGTTTTGAGCAATTTTCCTGTTTTAATAATTGGAAGAAGTGAATGTGATTAGGCTGTTTTACTGATATCTGGAAGTTATGAGTAAGTTGCTATGTTGCCATCATTTGTATGTTCTTATTAAACATCACTTTAAAAAAAAAATCATTAAGCTTTTAAGTTATCTGTGAGCTCCTGAGAAATCCATTTGAAAGGTTCAGGATGTAATATTTTGCAATGTTGGAATACAATAAAGCTTTATCTTGATGAATCAAAGGATCTCATATTAAGTTATTTCTAAGAAAATGTTTTACAAGCATAATTATTTTTTTGATTCTAGTTCTTTGTGTTTCTGCTTGTGATATTTGTGGCAGAGTTGACTGGTGGTGTGTGGGCCTGGATGAATAAAGAGAAGGTAATGTACTGTATATTCAGTTATGAACAGTTTATCAGTAGATTTTGATAAACAAATATTATTATATTGAAGATGAGAAATTATAGTGTACGTTGTTTTTTTTTCTTAAATATTAGCATTCCGGAAACATGACAGAAGATTCAAAATGTACTTTAGTATCTGTACAAGAAGTTAAGAGTTGATTATCACATTCACAAAGTACAGGTTTTTTTAAATAATAGCATTCTGGAAACATGACAGAAGATTCAAAATGTACTTTAGTATCTGTATAAGAAGTTAAGAGTTGATTATCACATTCACAAAGTACAGGTTTTTTTTAAATATTAGCATTCTGGAAACATGACAGAAGATTCAAAATGTACTTTAGTATCTGTACAAGAAGTTAAGAGTTGAGTATCACATTCAGAAAGTACAGGTTTTTTTAAATATTAGCATTCCGGAAACATGACAGAAGATTCAAAATTTACTTTAGTATCTGTACAAGAAGTTAAGAGTTGATTATCACATTCACAAAGTAAAAATCTTAAAGTTTATGCTAGCAAACTAAAAAATACTGGTTCATGTTGCAGTTTAGCTAGTAAGACCTAGGAGGCACTAGAAAAATTTTTCTAATAAACATTTCAGAAGAAAGATCTTTACTGTTGAATGTCATATACACCTTTGATACATAGATTTCTGTCGTATTACAAGATTCTGAGTGCAGAAGGTTACTTTATTTGCTAATGTCATGCTTGTTTTGAGTTCACATTTAAGCTGCATGCTATATCCAAGCTAAATATCAGGAAATGAAGATAATGAGATCAGTGTTTCCTCTAATTTTTTTAAGTCATGTGCGGAATGAATTTTGTTATGTGCACCAGGATCGAGGCAATGTGTGGATTTCTTAGACCACTATCTTTTTTGGATCATTAGGCTATATTGCAGTGCTACCAGTTGGTTATTTGGGCTTTAGGCCTATGGACTGCCAAGGTCATTAAAGCTGTCAACATGTTGATACTCCTCACCATTACTTAGGATGTGCACGGCTAGAATAATTAAGTGCACAGCATTTGATTGGTTGTTGTGTGGCCTCGCAGCTTAGAGGTAACACTGAATGAGATTCACTTCATCTAATTTGATTGGTTATCAAGGCTATCAGCATGTGGACCAGCTCACTAGGTTTTCACCATCTGACCTGTGCAATGCAGTTTTTGCTGGCTGCATGGTTAGAAAGACTACATCCAGGTGGTTACTGTTTGGAAGGTGATAATAAAATAGAAATCTCGTAAACTGCAAATGTTTTTCATATTCCTCATAATATGTCTATGAATTAACACAAATGTTTTGCTTATTGGCATTTAAATCATAAATATTAATAATAAAATACCTTTCTTAGTACAGGGTCACTTTAGGGTGGCTGTCAGCTGTTGGGTACTGTGGACTTTGTCAATCCAGGTGCTTGTAGCATAGCTACTCCAAATTCAGCTCCACTCGTGCATTCTGTTAACATTTGTAAAATAGTTAAAATAAATACATGGAAATAAAGTGTTTTGGTGTTCAAAAATATTTGAAAGTAAAACGATTTATACATAAAAAAAGAGTTTATGTAGCTTACATGTTTATTAACATTTAATACACGAAATTATAAATTATGACAGTTACAGATAATGTTATAGAAGAATAATGTTGTTTCTAGTGGCAGTAACAAATTTCCTAGTGGGGGTGGGGGGAGACCAATAGCAGCCATTTGCTAGTGCCTTCAAAAGTTAGGGTTGAGGCCTGAGTGTAATGTAGAGTGGTAGATTGACAGTTATTAACTTTAGAGGTTTTATTTCACTGGGTTTTAAAACTGTATCCATAAAGCAAAGAAACAGATGTACCATAAAACAAAATATACGTGTATGGTTGTGTTAACTTTAATGCACATTTTATCCACATCTTATGCTAATTTCCTGTCTAACTAATTAACTTAAAACAGTGTTTGAGTCTGTGTCATATATTGGAAATGTTAGAAACTTGTACCAATAATGTTTGTCTTAATGAATATAACCAAATCATTTTGTTGACCATGCACTAAAATCTGGTTGTACAGTATGGTAGTATAAGCACTGTAGCCTGAAAAGTGCTGTGGTGAACATGAGAACATCTAAGTGTCTACTAGTCTAAATCTTGTGCTCAAGCTGTTGCCAAACTGCATTATGATAATAAGACAGAGCTTGCATGCAAAATTACCAGAGTGTCAGTTCAAGAATCATTTAGTTTACAAGAAATATGTAGTTTGTATTGTTTTTACAAGTGCTATTTCTCATTTTGGAAGTGTTCATAGTGCTTTTGTTATAATGTGTTGAGCATAGTATTCAAAGAAGTATCAGAATTAATTTTCTCACAAAATCCTAATATTAATAAAATTATAATGTTTCTTTTAAAGAAATATTTATTATCTCTTGTCACATTTAGAGAATTATGTGAAAAGATTTTTATAGTTATATTACATGTCAACTGTTTTTACAGGTAAATGAAATGATTCGTTCCTCTGTGACTAGAATGGTTAAGGAAGAATATCCAAACAATGAGCTTGTAAAGAAAACCATTGATGCTACTCAAAGAGATGTAAGTATAATTCCATATCAGTTTACATCCATTTTAGTGCTGTGTCAGGTTTGGACATTAGTATATTTGCTTTTTTTTTTAATATCCCAGGTATTAAATTTTTTTTTCTAGATAATATCACAAATTTATAAGTAATGAAGGAAAATCCGTAACGGTAAAATCACTACATTAATACATTTTGGAGACTCGGAAAGTGTATTCTGTTTATGAATTTGTAAACGGTGTCATGCCGTGTAACAAAAATATAATAAACACAGTTTTGAGAGTATATTGTGAGATCTATAATATATAATTTTCTTATCATATATTAATTATTACTACATATGTGTGTCTTGAACAACATTTTAAAGTCTTCTTCCTACAAAAGAAATATCTAAATATTAATTTTATGATTTATATCAGACTAAAACCTGATACACAATAAACTTGATAGATTGTAAGTTGTCATGATGCTAAAGGAGGAATACATTTCCTTCTTGGAATACTCTTGTTATAGTTTGAATGTTGTGGAGCAAAAGGAATCTATGACTGGGCCCATTCTCTGTATAACAACAAAGATGGCGGCAGTGAGATTGAGTTAGGATTTACTGCTGCCGGAAACTTCAAAGTGCCTGAAAGCTGTTGCTCCGTTGACAAAACTTTGTGTGAGATGCGCCGTAAAGTCAATGCAGTAGGTCTTGCATTCCTACCAGGTCTGCATCAACAGGTAACTAAAAGTTTGTACATATGTATTGATTAACTTTAACTCTCTGGAGTTATTCATGGTATTTTAAGTAAAGAAAACTATTTGTTTTATGTTTTTCAAACAAGAATTGTGGAAGCATTATATTTATTATGAACATTGTTGTAACAGCCTTTCAGAAATATGACATCTTTATTAAAGGGAAAATATGCTTATACAGTTTTATTTGTAATAGGAATACTGTCATATGTTAACACTATTTTAAGTTTTCTGTGCATTGAAATAAAGTAATATGCTATATATATATATATATATATATAT